GGGGGAGAGAGAGAGATGGAGGGAGAGAGAGAGGGAGAGAGAGGGAGGGAGAGAGAGAGGGAGGGAGAAAGAGAGAGGGAGGGAGAAAGAGAGGGATGGAGGGGGTTGGAGAAGGAGAAGTATATGAAGTTTTTTTTTGTCCGTATCAATGGATATGTTTTATTGGCCCCCTGGACTGCGATTGTGAGAAAGAAAAGATAACAGGCATAAGTCGATTGTAGTGTTTGCAATATATGCGTTATCATTACATACCAGTATTTGACATGTCAACTAAAAGAATGCTCTGTCTATTATTCTCACCAAACTCAGGTGATGTACTGATAGCAGTTGTCGGGGTTCCAGACTGTGGTCGTGAGAACTTGTACAACAATGGTACCCCGGTGTGATAAGCAAATCAGTTTTGACAAACCAAACAAAGCTGAAAGACTTCGCCGACAGAGGACGACTTGTTACCTTTCAGTCAGCATTAAGTGAAGTCCAAAGTTGGTGCGGGCACTTTTAGCCGCCCCCCCCCCCCCGTCTAGATAAAGTAGAATTTGCTAGGCAATACATAAAACGTCTAGCCTGATCCTATGTTTCCTTGGCTATCAAGACAAGTACTTTTTCTAAATACCATTATTCAGGGAAAAATCTAACAAAGGATGCAATTTACTTTGGAATGATATTCTGTAATTGATATGTTGCGTTTGTACATTGTGTTCAAGGCAAAAGAGAATCTCTCTGTTAAAACGTAATTTACATCAAGTTTTGCTGCTGCTAAAAATTGTGGAAGTGGATATTACGGTGATGGTTATACATTACTAATACAAAGGGTTGCGTGAATAATAATAAAGGTTTGAAATTTTTCAGTGAGCGTGAATAGATGTTAATGAATTAATTACAAGTGTCAAGAAATATCGACAAGGTAAATGAATAAAGTTCGTAAGTATTTACTTATTATAGATATACATTATGTTAGAATGAGGGTCGATCTGTCATTTCTTAACTCAGTACAGAACTAAACAATGCAAGTGCATTATGTACGGTTTTACAGGATAAACATGTGTATAGAAGTAGCCTGTGTTACACAAGCTATCGGCCGGAGGTAATGACCCCAGTTCCAGCGCGGTTTAATCAGGCTTTGTATACATGTAGCCTACAATTGTCACTGCCATGGTTGAATTTAAGCTTCCCAGGTTCAAATTTGAGGTTCGAATCGTGTAAAATCGTGTAAAATCTGTATAGTAACCACATGGCTGCGATTCTAAGATCAGGATCATTCATTAGCCGTGCAGTTTGTACAACCATGTGTACAGCGAATAAACCAAACTGTCCATGGTCTGTGCAATGTGTAAAGTGTTGTACAGGCACCACTTTATTGGCACTTTGTTTGTACGTTACCTTTTGACGCAGTGTAAGCAAATGTTGGGTACTATTATAGTTACTATGGGTGAGGTGGACCGGTACGGACCATAGAATCTTTTTCGGTCCGGTCCGAAAATACGTAACGGTTTTCTAATTTGGACCGGGAAAAACCCATACTTGTTGTCACTGATGATTACTACACGCAAGGAGGCCTGCCATGAAAATAAAAATGCAGCGTTAAAACATAATAGAAGCTTATCCCCTGTTGCGAAAGCTCGCAACAGGAGCTAAGTAATTGCAAAAGTTCAAAATAGCTCGTGCTCCGAACTGTACCCACTTCTATTGTTTTTTGGAGAACGATGTAATTTATCAACGTGAACTTTCTTGAAAGTATAATATTGTTGCTTTGTTTTTTTTGTGGGTGTGTATGTGTTTTTGCAAGGGACATTTTACTTCAAAGGAACAGGCTCCGTCATAGGTGTCAGTGAAAGCGCGTCCCTTTTCTTCTTGAGGATACAGTACGTTGCCGCTGTCAGTATGATGACGAAGGCGAGAACTCCCACCACAACGGACAGGATCAGGACCTTTGTGGCGAGCGCTGTGGTCTGGACATCTGATGGGCCTGTGAAAACACACGCAGATCGGTGTTCATTCATTCAATATACACAAAGCATACGGTATCTGTCTGTCACACATAGCCGATCATGGTCTCCCGGCCTTCTCAAGAAAGGTCACATGAGTTTTTTTTCGCAGATGTTGCCTACAAGTTTTTATACCAGCCAACAACATTTTGCAAAATTCAAGTCGGGAAAGCCATATCTGTTTAGATGTGACCAGAGGAGCGTATAGTTGGTACATCTCCCAGTTACACTCTTGTTCTTAAAAAAACAAGAATTCGGAGACCTCGTAAAACACTGTAATTTCAGACTTTCCATCTCAATTATGCAAATTAAGTCTTCGTTTGCATGAGTTTCATTTAAATATGTACAACTATCTCTTACCAACCAAAAATGATGAAAATACGTTGTTTCTCTCTGCAGTTCCAGAACAGGCAGCTAGAGGGACAAAACCCATATCTACCACTTATTCCTGACAGGAAAAGTCATCTGTGAGTCAAGACCATAGCACACGCACAGACACACACACACACACACATAGACAAACACGAACACGCACAAATAGACACACACACAGACGCTCACACACACAGACAGACAGACACACACACAGACACACACAGACACACACACAGACACACACACGCACACAGACACACACACAGACACACTCATAGACACACACAGTCACAGACACAAACACACACACACAAACACATAAGCACGCACGCACACACACACAGACACACACACACACACTCATAGACGCACACACACACACAGACACAGACAAACACACACACACACACAGACACAGACAAACAAACACACACACACACAGACAACACACACACACACACACACACACACACACACACACACGCAAGCACACACACATAGACACACACATACACCAAAATAATCCATTTTTAATGAAGGTAATGACTGGACCAACCGTTACCCTCCAGGTCGTGCTGGTATTCCTCCGAGCTCCAAGTGAAGTCACCGCACCTCGGGAAGCCCCTGGGCGGGGCGGGGTGCCGGTCTCCCGCCTCCTGCAGCACCAGCGCCATCCCCTCGTTCATGTGCTGATCATTGTGGCAGTGCAGGAACCAGTGCCCGGGGTTGTCAGACCTAGCAGATCAAATACAAAAACGGAGACTTTAGATTTCAGGGAAATATTTTGCTTTGATTTCTTTACGTTCAAGTTCACAAACCTTCAGTAAATCTTACGCGATTCCATTGGCATTGAATTCATTCGCATTATAGAGGGAATTTTATGATATAATTTAACGGGTATTACACAACATCGCTTAACCCCTGCATGTGTAGTGTAGTATCCCTGCGATTAGCCCTTATACGGTTGATTAGATTAGTAGATTAGTAATAATTGCCTGACTCTGCATACCTGAACCTGACCACAGTGTAACCATTGGCAGGGACCAGGACGGTGTCTTTCAGTGGCGGGTTGATCAGGTTAAGCAGCGGCGGTCCATTCCGCCAGGAGGCGTCCGTGCACAGCTCGTTCTTGCATTCCACATCAGGGTTAGGCTGGATGTAGCGACCTGTACGTACAATGTAAAGTCACACTGGTTTAATTTTTAGGATTACATCCGGGCGCGAATTGATTTCCCCTGTTCTAAAAAAAATAAGATCACGTCTTCCGATTCTCTCGCCTGGGTGCAATCCATGGTAGTCCATGGTACCTAACGACAATAGGGAACCGCTAGACTGCGGTAACTACGGAGGACGGCACCCAGGCTGTCAAAGCTCTACGGAACTCGTTATGGCAAATAAAATAATAAGTGTTTGAAGTTTCAATGAGTGGCATTAGGGTAAGGATTGTGGATTTAGTTAAGGGTTAGTGTAAGGATTATGGTCGGGGTTAGGGTTAGAGCAACCGAAAAATCCAGGAGGCAAAGTTTAGTATCGTTGGAAAGGAAAGGACCCAATATTATAGAACAGCTTTTCGCCTTTGGTTCTGGAGTTAAAAGTGTTTGATGTTTCAATGTGTGGCATTAGGGTTAGGGTTATATAGCAACCGAAAGACCAAGAAGGCAAAGTGTGGTTTCATTGGATAAAAGTTGGCCCCAGTATTCCGTAACAAATATTCGTTCTGAAATAACCTTTTGTTCCGGATTTATAAATGTTTGAAGTTTTAATGTTTAGCATTAGGGTTAGGGTAGCGGTTAAGTTCAGGGCAACCGAAAGACTCTGGAGGCAAAAGTTGATTTCTTTGGAAAGGAAATGGCCCCAGTATTCTAGAACAGCTATTCGTTCTGATATATTGCCTCTGGTTCTGGAGTTAAAAGTGTTTGAAGTTTCAATGTGTGGCATAAGGGTTAGGGTTAGGGTTATAGCAACCGAAAGACCCAAAAGGCAAAGTTTGGTATCGTTGGAAAGGAAATAGCCTAAGTATTCTAGAACAGCTATAATATCTTCAGCTTAAATCTCAAATTTATGCAATAACATTTTCAAGCAGACTGTTAGAGAACCACCCGCCACCTGAAATTATTGAATGCTGCATTTTTACTTGACAAAACAGCTGGATTTTGTGCTACATGTGTCACATGCACTTTTATCCCATGAATGCCGTCAGTTGCGATCATGGGAAGGTTTTTGTAGGACGAATGTGTGCCTACATACGCACGTACCTGTAGTCTTGTTGTAGCTGGGGTAACCCATGGCGACAACCTGGAAGGCGTGCCCGTGGATGTGGACAGAGTGGTGCGTCTGACTGGCCGGAGCGAACGTGTTATACATCACCAGTTGGATCGTCTGGTTGTAGGGGATGTCTAAAAACAATATGAGAAACGACATTAAACTTCCTGTCTATTGAAGGTACCATGTAGGTCAAACTGACTTCTAAATTCTTTTTTTTTTTCATTTTGCAATTAACAAGAGAATGGCCAGATAATATATGTGGCATGATTATGCTTTAATAAGAGGTTAATGCTTCCTCGAGGTGTATATAGTACAACAATCCCTGGTCAGGTGCGATAACCACCAAAAAAAACCACCAAGTGAGCGTAGCGAACGAGGTGGTTTATGAGGTGGTTATCCCACCTTGCCATAGATTATGTCACAATATACACCGAGGATAAGGCAGGGTATTAACGTTATTATCATATAGCCTATCCAACTGACACAATTATTTGACACAGATTCCTTTATAAAATTTCTCTAATGCCGAAAAAAAACTCACATTCTATATTACCTGAAATGATGGTATGGGCAGAAAAACAGATCATCTAGGCAATGACCTGCGGTTACCACGTGACATTGGACCAGTACCACTTTTAGTGGGTGTGTCAAAAATTGTTTTTGTCTTTTTCCATTTAATATCATGTATATCTTTTTGATTGTGTTGTATCTTCAGATAAGTTATTTAAAACGTTTTTAATAGATAAATACTACAGGTCTTCACAGTAGCGTTAGTGCCCCGTCCCCATGGTACGGTCTAAAAAATTGGTCGACGCCTTCTGGCTATATGATACTTTATATTAAATGCCATTATCATATAGCCAGTAGAATTATTTATGAAAATACAGCACAATTAAATGAAACATGTGTCCATAGGCGACAATTCTCCGTGAAGTTTTGTATTTTGCAGATTGAGAACAGTAAAAGTGTATGTAAACAGTATGTGATCACTTAACAACTGCAGTGTTCGAAATACTTTTTTGACAGCACAGCACCTAGGGCAAAAACTAGGTAGCGCATCAGAATTTTAGGTTGCGCCCCCCCCCCCCCGATTTTTGTCAAATTCTATGCACGTGCAAGATTTGATATTATGTGTCCTGCCATCTGGTGAATGCCATGTTGCTTTCCTGCTGAGTTTGTGTTTGGGAAAAGTATTAGCGAAGGCTAATCTGTGATATCTAGCAAACTCTAGCAGTCTTAGTCCTCTGTCATTTGTTTTTCACAGACCGTGTTTACCAACTGTACAGAGAGCTCGGGAAACCAGTCTACCACACTTTTGTGGACTACAAGAAGTGCTTTGGCAGAGTATGGCAGGACGGTCTCTGGGCAGTGATGCGCCGGTTCAACATTACCAGGGGGATTGTTAAGTGCGTTGAAGCGCTCTACAAAGCATCACAAAGCACAGTCATGACTGGGGGGGACTTCAGTGACTGCTTCCCTACGTCAGTTGGAGTACGCCAGGGATGTCTTCTTTCTCCGACACTCTGCAATATATTCTTAGAGAACATAATGAGAGAAGCCTTAGCACCAAAAGTAGCACCCATCAAACTGGCAGGACGCACCATAACCCACCTCCAGTTTGCGGATGATGTGGATTTGCTGGATGGGTCAAGAGTGGATCAGCAATCCCAGATCAACAGCTTGGACTCCACAAGCAGGAGGTATGGTATGGAGATTAGTCTGGAGAAAACCAAATGCCTTGTATCTGGTCCGTCCGATACAAATGGCCAAGTCACAGTCAGAGGCACAGAACTGGAGCAGGTCAGTGAGTTTACATACCTCGGCTCTGTCCAGACAGAAGACTGCAGCTCAGACAAAGAGGTGAAAGTCAGGATTGCCAAGTCAACCCTTGCACTGTCAAAGCTAAAACACATCTGGTGCAGTCATAGCATCTCCATGCCAACAAAGATACGCCTACTACGTTGTCTTGTGCTATCTATTTTCTTGTATGGTGCTGAGACATGGACTTTGAATGCAGCTATAGTGAAGAGAATCAATGCGTTTGAGATGAACTGTTATCGCAGACTGCTACGAGTTCACTGGACATCACACACTACAAACAAAGAGGTCATGGAACGCATTTACACCTTGCAAGGCCCACTCGACAGCTTCCTGGCCACAGTTAAGAAGAAAAAGTTACAGTGGTTCGGACATGTGTCTAGGGCCAAAGGCACACTGTCACATACAGTTCTCCAGGGTAAGGTGGAAGGCGCACGGCCGCGGGGACGTCCCCGTCGGTCATGGATTACAGACTTAAAAGAGTGGACTGGTGTAACAGCCAACCAGATGGCCAGACTGGCGGAGGACCGCCAGCAGTGGAAGAACTTGGCCAAACATCATGCTTCCCCGACGGCTGACTAAGCTATGGGAGAGAGTGAGTGAGAGTGATGCACGTGTTGCAGTAGCATATTTCTGCTAATCATATAAGTATAATACCTCCGTGTTCTAATGATTATCTATTCATGTTTTATGTTTACAAGGCAAAATTTGTTACATAAGATTTGATCACATATGCTTAAAAATATTATTGTTGTATTAAAAAAAAATTATAAGACACTGAATCGCTGGCTGTGCAGCAGCGTACGTACGTAGTGTGCCGGACATAGGCCGTGCATGCCTACCATGCCCCACTTGCGAAATAAATTCCTAAAGCTAAAACGCGGGCACATCGTGCGTATCCACAAATATTTCCGTCGTTAAAACATAGTCACTGGAATCTGAAATGTATACATACAGGATAATTTCCCTTCTTCAGTGGGAATTTTGTTTATGTTTTGATCGGTAAAAATACGTCAAAGCAAGTTCCTTGGTCAAACTCACGCTGGTCTAGGCTGCACTTCCGGGTTCCATTAGAGCAAAAAGAAACCATAAAACGACAAACATAAATTTTCACCAAAGGTTATTTGAATTGTGCCTTTTTTTCACTAAATGTGGCTATGCACTCGTGAAAAACAGCGTTGTAGTGCATATTTTCTAACAGAAAAACTAAAGATTCGGGCAAGTGCTTAATGCCTGGGCAAAAAACATCTGGTACCACTTATCGGCCCCTCCTTACATCTGCTTGAGGGATGCCCGACCCCCTCGCTTTTCCAAACAACGGGTTTTCATAATTGTAGGGGTGCATTTGAAATATTACATTATACAATCATCAGAGATCGGAACTTTTTGGCAATCTTGCAGATTTACTCGGTCATCTTAATATGTCAGATAATGCTAAACTGCTCTTTATTCTTAGAGGCTCCATATTGTTACCCTTTATGTACAACTTTAAAACGATGCAACTTTTACACTTGAGATACGAGTACCAAGCGCTTCTAGCTCTGCTTGACAGTTTCTAACAGTCAACAAGAAGCCATAGGTAACAATCCTCCGTGAAGTTTTATATTTTGCAACAAAAATAATCCCAAGCGTCAATGCCAGACCTACTGTGCAGACATTAGGCAACGGTTAATACAATGAGGGCGCGTCACAACCATAAAACATAAAAAGACCTAAATCCATTACTGCTCTCAGGGCGTGTAAAGATTCCGTGCTTCAAGTTCGAAGTTCATTTTAATTACACACACACAATCATTGCATTCACATAAAGATCGGACTATCATGGTCGTGTCACTAGTAACAAAGACAGCCCCACCGTCTTATCGTTTCTGTTACTTACCTTGGCGCGACTGGCCAGGCCAAATTCCAGCAACAGTTGCGGCCAGCACCGCGAGTGTTATTACCGCCGGTCAGATAACCGGGCGAAAACATCTCAACGACATTATAGGGATGTTTCAAAAATAAGCATTCACTCCAATATCAAAACTGCTAGGGTAAAAATAAAAAGACGTGCATCACCACGGGCATCATGGCACACCACATGCCAAATTACACAGAAATGCTACGTACGGAACAATGCGTTTTGGCTGCGAACACGTATGGTACCACTTATCGACCCCTCCCTGCGTCTGCATGAAGTTCACCCCCCCCCCCCACCCACTGCTATTCCAAACAACGATTTTTTCTGGACCATTTCAATTTGCCTCATAATTGTAGGGGTGCATCTTAAATATTACATTCACCGCGAAAACAGCAACGGCAAAAATACACATGTGTGCATCAACACGGGCATGCCCGCAGGCGGCGTATAAAATTACATGCCGATTACACAAAGAGAACCCCGTGTTCTAGCTGCGAACACGAAAAAACAGCTCCTCACAACACTCCGTCCGGAGGTCCTGACCTCCTTCACGGAGTAATTAGATATAGAAGTCCAAATACTACGTAAGTGTTAATGGGCCTAAATTTTCCTCCTAGCTCTGATTGGCGGATGTTTTTCCGCCCATGAGATATAGGAGGTTACCACGTAATCTTATCTTTCAAATAGCTTTTTATATTCCAGTCCATACCATATGGTACGGATGAAATATATTGTGTTCTCTCATGTTTCTCCTTCTCCTGCCAAACAGTCAAAGGGAAATCAACTCTGTCATTTTATAGCCAAATGACCTGAAATTTGGCATGGAGGTAGAGTGGGCGTTTTTTTTTTTTTCATTTTTTTTATACATGCCTTTGAAAAATTTTTATGAAGGTTTTTGGGGGCATTTTTCGCCAAAAAATGGATTTTTGGATCCTGATTCCTGGTTTTACAACCAACTGATCTGAAATTCGGTATAAGTGTACCTTGAACATGTGTCTACAGAATAGCAGTCACATATTTGGCATACACCACTTCCAAATGACTCATTTGGGGGGCTTTAATGGCTATTTTCAGCAAAAAAAGGGCCAAAAGTGCTATACCCGTTCCATGTTGTATCTAAAGAATGGCACGTTCCATCTGCCGTTGGCCATGGAACACGTCTTCCATTGCAGGTTACCTGGGGTCACATTGCACGTAAGTCGTAATGACCCACACATTCAATTTTATGTGCCTAAGACCTTCAAAATGTATCAAATCTCATCATTGTTAGTATTTGCATACCTGTAATAAGATTAGTAAAGCTTTTGAGATTCAATGTGCTTGTTCTTGCATCTTTGTTCTCAATTACATAGCTACTATATAATTCATTACATTTCACCCATACTATAGTATGGGAGAAATGTATTGTGTTCCCTCATGTTTCTTCTTCTTCTCCTCCTCCTGCCATTTCTTTAAAGGGATTCAACTCAGCCGTTTTTCAGCCGAATGACCTGAAATTTGGCATGAGGGTAGAGTGGGCAAATATCCCCAGACGTTTTTTTCATTTTTTTGAAACAGGCCTTTAAAATTGTTTTATTTGGGTTTTGTGGTCATTTTGCAGGCAAAAAATATACATTTTGGAAGCTGGAGCCCTCGTGCTAGAACTAAATGACCTGAAATTTGGTATGGGGATACCTTGGACACATGACTGCAGAATGTCGTTCAAGCTCTTAACATACGCCACTTTAAAATTGTGTAAAATAGGGTTTTTTTTGCTATTTTCGGTCAAAAATGTACATTTTTGGCTCCTGTGCCCTAATTTCAAATCCGAATGACCAGACATTTCGTATGGGGATACCTTGGACACATGTCCAAAGAATGTCATTCACGCTTTTGACATATACCACTTTAAAATTGGAAAAAATAAGGCTTTTTGGCTATTTTCGGACCAAAAATGTACATTTTTGGCTCCTGTGCCCTAACATTAAATCTGAATGACCTGAAATTCGGTATGGGGATACCTTGGACAGATGTCCAAAGAATGCCATTCACGCTTTTGACATATACCACTTTAAAATTGTGTAAAATAGGGCTTTTTGGCTATTTTCGGACCAAAAATGTACATTTTTGGCTCCTGTGCCCTAATATTAAATCCGAATGACCTGAAATTCGGTGTGGGGATACCTTGGACACATTTTCAAAGAATGTTATTCACGCTTTTGACATATACCACTTTAAAATTGGAAAAAATAAGGCTTTTTGGCTATTTTCATTTTTGGCTCCTGTGCCCTAATATTAAATCCGAATGACCTGAAATTTGGTATGGGGATACCTTAGACACATGTCCAAAGAATGTCATTCACGATTTTGACATACACCACTTTAAAGTTATGTAGAATAGGGCTTTTTGGCTATTTCCGGCATTGGAAGGTTCCATTGCTGCATGGGGGTGTAGACTATTGGCAGCCATCGTAGGATAGATCCATTTTCGGTATGGGGGATGTGGTGAAGCCATCTGCTGCATTTGCTCCCAAGCAAATGTCGGCCTTTCTAGTGTTCCCTCATGTTTCTTCTTCTTCTCCTCCTTCTGCCATTTCTTTAAAGGGATTCAACTCAGCCGTTTTTCAGCCGAATGACCTGAAACTTGGCATGAGGGTAGAGTGGGCAAATATCCCCAGACGTTTTTTTCATTTTTTTGAAACAGGCCTTTAAAATTGTTTTATTTGGGTTTTTTGGTCATTTTCAGGCAAAAAATATACATTTTGGAAGCTGGAGCCCTCGTGCTAGAACTAAATGACCTGAAATTTGGTATGGGGATACCTTGGACACATGACTGCAGAATATCGTTCAAGCTCTTAACATACGCCACTTTAAAATTGTGTAAAATAGGGATTTTTTGCTATTTTCGGTCAAAAATGTACATTTTTGGCTCCTGTGCCCTAATTTCAAATCCGAATGACCAGACATTTCGTATGGGGATACCTTGGACACATGTCCAAAGAATGTTATTCACACTTTTGACGTACACCACTTCAAAATTGTGTAAAATAGGGCTTTTTGGCTATTTTCGGACCAAAATGTACAATTTCAGCTCCTGTGCCTTAATATTAAAACCAAATGACCTGAAACTCGGTATAGGATATCCTTGGATACAAGCCCACAGAACTTAATTCACGCTTATGGCATGTGTCACTTTAAAATTATGTAAAATGTACTTTTTGCTATTTTTGACCAAAAAGTACATTTTTAGCTTCTATGCGCTAATACGAAAACCGAATGACCCGAAATTCAGCATAAAGGTAGCTTGGCACCAAATGCTTAGACTATAGTGTTCACTATTTGAAATACTTTTATTTGCCTTATTTTGAGTAAAAACAGCGATTGTAGCTTGAAAACCCAAATCCCCAACTGACAGTTCTAAATAGAACACTCGGGTTCTACATGTTCCAACAGTAGAAGGGGTTGGAAGATTCCATTGCTGCATGGGGGTGTAAACTGTGGGAACAGTTCACATTTTAAACAGGGGTGATTTAGAACAATCCATTTGTGCGGGGGGGATCGGTCCATTTTTGGTACGGGGGATGTGGTGAAGCCATGCTGCATTTACTCCCGAGCAAATGGCCTTTCTACTATTCTAGGGGAAATTTGGAATGGAGAGGAAGAATGGGTGAAATGTGCTGTATTTGCTCTTGAGCAAATGTCCGCCTTTCTAGTTTATTTGAGAATCTTTGCCAGTTACATTGGGGTAAGTTTGGAATAGTCCACTTTTGCTTGGTGCGTGGAAGGGAGATGGACTGAAATATGCTGTATTTGCTCCCAAGCAAATGTCGGCCTCTCTATTTTAGCATTTAATTTAACATTTTAATGTCTTGGGGTGGTGGGACTACGGCGCACAGATATGTCAACTTTGTATATTGAAATGTTAATTGTACTTTTTTGTTGTGTGGCGCTGTTAATATAAGTTGTTAACTTGAGTGCAGTGTCACACTGTTCTTGTTACCTCCGGGGGAGGAGACATCCTTCCGCGGAAGGGTTTTGTGAGAGATTTAGATTTTCATGTTCGCAGCTGTTTGTCGCGTTTGGGTGGACGGATTCTTTTGAGATTCGGTATATGTTTTGCTATTGGGCTGCAGATGATGCACGTCCTTTTGTTTTTATTGTATATGTGTTTTCGGTCGTGAAAATGGTGCCTTTTGGTGCCCCCAAAACACCCCTTTGAGCGTGAAAATGGTAGCGACCGTTGACCTTTGGCGTATTTAAGCTATTCTCGGTCTGGTCCACGTATATGACCCCTCACACAGAGGGGTGTCCGGTCTCGACAAATTCTTTGTTTAAAGCCCTATATAAAAATATACAATAAAAAGCCCGGAGGTATAAAATCTGAGATTTTACTTGTTTGGTTTGGACCAGAACAGAAAAATACAAAACATAATTTCGACACCCCCACTAAAAGTGGTACTGCTCCAATGCCACGTGGTCACCGCAGATGATTACCTTGTAGATGATCTGTTTTTCTGTCCACACAATCTTGTTTCACGTGACATAGTTTTTTTTTCGTAATGTAGTTTTTTCACAACCAGGGATTATCTCACCATATATATATACCTCGGGTCGGGGCATTAATCCTTTAGTATAGCTCATTTTCTGTCTCGATTAGGGCCAGGTCATATTTTTCATACAATTCAAAATGTTGGTGTCGTAGGAACCAGGCTGTGACAGAACCAACCAACGACAAAAGATTGTTTGGATATGTAGGACTCTCCCAAGTGCCTTCGGTTTGCCGAACGCAAGACACTCGAACGATGAATGTATCCCGGCCCATGGTTAGCACTGAAGAAAAAGTATAACATATATATATACACTAGTTTTTACCGCACCTATGATGTGTGTACACCGACATCCGCTCCTGAGACACTGTTCCTTGTCACACGGCACGATCGCCGCCGTGTTGTCCTGGTAAAGCGGGGCGGTGGGGCCGACGAACCGGCGTCCGTTCACAGAAGACCCGATGGCGAAGTTGAAATTTAAGAAGATCTCCATTATGTCCGTGGAAATGGACTGTTTACCGCCATTGTCAGTCACATTGGAGTGTCCTTCTCCCTCTGATAGAAACGCATAAGCTTTTGCTTCATTAACATGGATGCAGGCAGTGTTCTCGTGTTCGGGGTAGCCAGCAAACGGGCAGTTAAAGACAAAGCAAGGATTCTCGTCGCTGCAGTTCCGTTTCGATGTGGTGGGATCTCTGTCTGCTGTCACACCTTGGTATCGCAAAGTAGCCCGCACCTCTTGTGTTATGTCATCCGGAACCACATTGACTTCGTCGTACGGGTAACATTTAGTGCAGTGGCCAATGCTCAGGGTCTTAGCCCGGATCCAGTACAAATCCGGATCTGCGCTACCGTTAATCCGGACATCATAGCTCTCTCCGGGATACATAATGACTGACTGTACGCTGCGAGGTGACATGTCGTACCCATCGCTTGCTGTCACCGTTAGCTCGTGTTGATCCACAGAAAACCGGAACGGATAATCCGGACCTACATGAATAATCCGGAAGTTGACGGACCCTCCAGAAGGGACTGTGAAGGTGCTGAGCGGCGCCCTGTTGTTCCCGAAACGACCACGTCCGTTTATCAAAGCTGAGTTGTACTCTCGACTGGATACTTTGATGCCATCATGAGAGAACGTGCGTTCGTAGGCACCTGAAACAACAGTTCGGAACACACCAAAAATTGCTGATTTACCCATGGCCTAATACTCTTGAATATTTAAGACAAAAATAAGACTTCGATGCGTTGTGGCATAGACGAAAATGATATATAGGATTTCTTCTCCAAGAAGAGCACACTTCACACAATAGTCACTTGGATACATATGCATTAGAAGTGTATATATTTTCTGATTTTCTTTGTTGGAAATTATGCCCAAAGGCTTATCGCAAACAAAACAAAAGAAAACAAAACAGAGCAAAACGCTGATTTACAATGTGTTCATACTTAACGGAGGAGGAAATCAATTATAATCAATCAATCATATATTAGTGAATAAAGAGCAAAATGACAAATATCTTAAATTCATTTCAACATAAGCTATTTGAGTGTTTGACGTCTTCATAATTACCCAGCTCATATGCCCCATCGCCGCCATATTCCAAACGAAACATGTTCGAAATCCAATATGGGGTAGCTTCAACGTGGTACCAGTCATGAAGGATCACGGGAACGGATGGCATGATGGGATGCCTGGCAAACAACAACAGGTTATGAGCTAGTAGGTAGGATAATGCTTAGTGGGACAACAGCGTTATGCTTAGTGTGGCCAATTATTATGTGTTATCTCATGTTTCATCTTCTTCTGCTGCTGCCATTCCGTTAAATAAATTCAATTTCTTCATGTTAAGGCCAAATGGCATGAAATTTGGCATGGAGGTAGAGTAGGCGAATACCCCCAGGAGTTTTTTTCCAAAAATTGTTTTTTTTTTTCCATTTCCAGGCAAAACATCAGGCAACTAGAGAGGCCGACATTTGCTTGGGAGCAAATACAGCATATTTCAGTCCATCTCCCTCCCACGCAAAAGTGGACTATTCCAAACTTACCCCAGTGTAAAACTGGCAAAGATTCTCAAATAAATGAATTATATAGTAGCTATGTAATTGAGAACAAAGATGCAAGAACAAGCACATTGAATCTCGAAAGCTTTACTAGTCTTATTACTGGTATGCAAATACTAACAATGATGAGATTTGATACATTTTGAAGGTCTTAGGCACATAAAATTAAATGTGTGGGTCATTCCGCACGACTTACGTGCAATGTGACCTCAGGTAACCCGCAATGGAACACGTGTTCCATGTCCAACGGCAGATGGAACAGGCCATTCTTTAGATAGAACATGGAACGGGCCGGGTATAGCACTTTTAGCCCCTTTTTTGCTGAAAATAGCCGTTAAAGTCCCCCAAATGAGTCATTTGGAAGTGGTGTATGCCAAATATGTGACTGCTATTCTGTAGACACATGTTCAAGGTACCCTTATACCGAATTTCAGATGATTTGGTTGTAAAACCAGGGCTCAGGATCCAAAAATCCATTTTTTGGCGAAAAATGCCCCCAAAAACCTTCATAAAAAATTTTCAAAGGCATGTATCAAAAAAATGAAAAAAACGCCTGGGGGTATTGGCCCACTCTACCTCTATGCCAAATTCCAGGTCATTTGGCTAAAAAATGACAGAGTTGAATCCCTTTGACTGTGTGGCAGGAGAAGGAGGAGAAGGAGGAGGAGAAGAAACATGAGAGAACACAATATATTTCATCCACACCATGGTATGGACTGAAATATAAAAAATATACATTTTGGGATCTGGAGCTGGTACTAAAACCAAATGACCTGAAATTTGGTATGGTGATACCTTGGACATATGTCTACAAAACCACATCCAAGCTTTGGACATACACCACTTTAAATTGTAAAAAAAATAGGGCTTTTGGCTTTTTTCGGACAAAAAAAAATGTACATTTTTCCGAATGACCTGAAATTCGCTATGGGGACACCATCGGCACATAACAAAAGAATAGCATTGACGCTTTTGACATGCGTACTTTAGAATTGTGTAAAATATGGCTTTTTGGCTATTTCCAGAAGAAAAATGTACATTTCTAAAAATGTACATTTTTGTCTCCTGTGCCCTGATATTAAAACCAAAAGCCCTGAAAATTGGTATGGGAGAACGTTGGATACAAGGCTACAGATTGTTATTTATACTTTGGGCGTGTGTCACTTAAAATTATATACTTTTTTTACCTATTTTTGACCGACAATGTATATTTTTGGCGCCTGTTCGCTAATATAAAAACCGAATAACCTGAAATTCAGCATAAGAGTAGCTTGGCACCAAATGCTTAGACTACAGTGTTCACTATTCTTTTATTTACCTTTTATACTTCTACCTTATACTTTATACTTTTATTTACCTTACTTTCAGTAAAAACAGCGATTTTAGCTTGAAAACCCAATCCCCATATGACAGTTTTACATGTTCCTGGCACTGACTCTACATGTTCCATTAGAAGGCATTGGAAGATTTAATTGCTGCATGAAGGAATAGACTCTTGGAACACTTCAAATTCTGGATACTAGTAGGGATGATTTAGGAACAATCCGTATGTGTGGCAGTGGGAAGGATCCGTTTTTGGCACGGGGATGTGGTGAAGCTATCTGCTGCATTTGCTCCCGAGCAAATGCCGACCTGTCTAGTGTTTCTCCTCCTCCTTCCATTTTGTTAAATGGATTCAATTTCTTACTTTTTGGACAAAATCACATAAAATTTGGTATGGAGGTAGAGTGGCCAAATATCCCCAGGAGAATTTTTCAATTTTTTTAAACAGGCCTCTAAAATTGTTCTATTTGTTACTCCGTGAAGGAGGTCAGGACCTCCGGACGGAGTGTTGTGAACGGCTGGTTTTTCGTGTTCGCAGTCAAAACACTGGGTTCTCTTTGTGTAATCGGCACGCAATTTTATACGCCGTCTGCGGACATGCCCGTGTTGATGCACGAATGTGTATTTTTGCCGTTGCTGCTTTCGCGGTCAATGTAATATTGCAGACGCACCCCTACAATTACGAGGCGAATTGGAATGGTCCAGAGAAACGCGTTGTTTTGAATATCAGTGGGGGGGTGGAACTTCATGCAGATACGGGGTGGTTTTGATAAGTGGTTCCAGATGTTTTTGCCCGTGCTTAAGAGATGCCAAGTTTTTTGGAAGATGTTCGCAGCCAAAACGCATTCTTCCGTACGTCGCATTTCTGTGTAATTTCGCATGTGGTGTGGCATTATGTCCGGGATGATGCACGTCTTTTTATTTTTACCGTAGCTGTTTTGATATTGGAGTAAATGGTTATTTTCGAAACATCCCCATGTCGTTGAAATGTTGTCGCCCGTTTATGTGACCGGTAGTATATTAAAGTCGCGGTCAGGCTGATGGGGACGGTTATGTGGGGTGGTCAGAGGTCAACATTACGAAATGTAAATACCGATGACGTAATCCTATCGATTTCAAACTGGTCGGCTGTGGCGACCTAGCTAGTGGCGGCGTGTATTTAGTCACGTAGCAACTGGCCGGTCGTCCTAGCAACGAGCATGCTGGCCGCTTCTCTGTACACATTGCCAATATTTTTGGGTTGGGCCGCTCCATAGTGTTAGTGGAGCAGCTCTTTGTAAACATGGACAGTATTTTTGAGCAACCCATCAATGTGTTCTGCCTCGTGGTCGGATGTGGTCTGGGGCTGGTAAACCGCACATACTAGTAGATCGGGTAATTTTATGATTTGCTAGTTGTAAAGGCGTCTTGTAGTATGAGCCGGTATATGAAGAAGTAGCCTGTGTTACACAATCATGCTTTCGGCCGGATTGATGTGCAACTGTTACTAATTGCAGGGACTGCGCTAATGCCGACCAGTCGCGCTGTCCTGATACACCGCGAATGTTGGGCAATATGCGAGTGTTCCCTGTAGACAGTCCCGGGAGTCATTTTTTCGCACATTCGCACATTCCAGGAGCCAAACCAAAATACGTTCATGAACCGAGTCCAAAAAACCGAAACATGGAAATCGGATGATCGGACCTGATGTAACGTTACATTTCTCTTTCTGTAGATTGTACACATAATACACACATCTTTAGATAATCTGGCCATGGCAGGTAAAAAAAAGTAACCCTAAATCATACTAGATTAGCGTAAATGCATATTTATGCGTTCAAAACAAGAAAAGAAATTGTTTCCCGGTATTAATCTCTTGAAACACGGCGCTGAATATTGACGCAAAAATATTTCGAGCATCGCGCGCCCTTCCCCGTTGTTTAGACTGTATGCAAATCCCGCGTCACGTGTCGGCATTTCGCATCTCTGATTGGTTGCTGCGTCTTAAGATGACTGAGCCGACGTGCGTTTAAACAATTTTTCTTTGTTCGATTTATCACACTTCACAGAGAATTGTCACCAATGGCTACTTCTTTTTGTTGCAATATATACTTTTTTTTTATTTATTTATTATAACATTTAGTAACAAAACAGGATGACGACATACTCAAGCTACAATGCTTATGTTTGTGTCGTCATCGTTACAAAGATATATACATGTAGTCACAAATACAGACATGCAAAGCATAAGAGTAATAAGGTAAACTAAAGTAAGCCGCATTATAACTAAATCATAAAATATGTAACAAATATATAACAGTATAATATTATGCAGGTAAGTGATAAGTGAATAAGTAGGCATTCCAAGTCAAACAACAAACTGGTAGGATAAGAAATTGATGGTTACTCAAATCTTTCCGTTTCTTTTATAAACAATTGAACACATTGTAAGAGTTTAGCGTTGTTAGAAGCCGACAGAGAAGAGGAACCTCTAAGCAGTAATTGTACTAGGAGATTATCGGGAAGGTTTTGGATGTTGATGGCAAATCCTACAAGTTTGGTTAAATTGCTGAAGAGGGAGACACGATATTGAGTAAACTTTGGGCAGTGCAGAAGATAATGATGAATACTTTCACAGGGGTGGCCACAAGTACAAGCAGAACTAGATACCAGGTTTCGAGAGTACAGATTAGAGTTTAGGCTATGAGTACCAAGTCGAAAACGAGTGAGAAGAGCGCAGGTGTACCGGGGACCTATACTGAAGTATGAAACAGGGACAGGGCGCACAGATTTGATCATTTTTTTCTTAAAGCGTGGGAAACTCAGTGAACGGTCTGCTAAGGTAAGGCTATTCCAGTGATACGTTGCATAGGGAATGAATGATTTTTTAAAGCGGGTTGTGGTACGTTTTGGCAACTGAAGATTTAGTTTATTACGAAGGTCGTAAGTAGAGGCGTCTGATACTAGGGGCAAATATATACTTCACGGAGAATTGTCGCCTATGGCTTCTTGTTTGTTTTTTTGGCCAGTTTCAGGTAAAAAATATTCATTTTGGGACCTGGAACCCTGGTACTAAAGCTAAATGATCTGAGATTTGGTATGGGGATACCTTGGACACATGTCTACAGAATGCCAATCAAGCTTTTGACATAAACCACTCTAAAATTGCTTAAAATGATGCTTTTGGGCTATTTACGGCCAAAATGTTTATTTTTTTGCTCCTGTCCCCTAATATGAAAGTCGAATGATCTAAAATTCGGTATGATGATACCTTGGACAAATGTCAAAAGACATGCACAATTTCAAAACTGTGTAAAATAGGGCTTTTTGGTTATTTTTGGACAAAAAATGTACATTTTTGGCTCCTGTGCCCTAATATCAAAACCAAATAACCTGAAACCTTTTTGTTTTGCTATTTTTTTACCAAAAAATTTACATTTCTGGCTCATGTGCGCTACTACAAAAACCAAATCACCTGAAATTCAGCTAAAGGGTAGCTAGGCACCAAATGCTTAGACTACAGTGTTCACTTTTCAGATGTAGCCCTTTACAATACTTTTATTTATTTACCTTGTTTTAGTAAAACAGCAATTGTAGCTTCAAAACCCAAATCTTCAATTCAACTGACAGTTCTAAACGCAACACCGGGTTCTACATGATCCAACAGCAGAAGGTGTTGGAAGATTCCATTGCTACATGGGGGGAATAGACTATTTGAACACTTAACATTTTGGTCATGGGTGATTTAGGAACAATCCATTTTGTGCAGGAGGGGGATAGGTCAAATTTGCTGCATTTGCTCCCAGCATAGGGTTACGTTATGAACATCGTAACTATAAGTGTAACAGAACAAATAAAACAACCTGGATATATATAAGAGGCTCAAATAGAAGAGAAATAGGTGTCAATATACATACAATTATGCTCCATATTTCGCTCTTCGTGTAATAAAGAAAGAATTCCGGCAAAATGATGACAAGCAAGTTGCCATAATGGAGTTACCAACCAGACTGAAAAATAAACTAATTATTGAGACAAGTTAATTATGCAACTAAGGTGGTGATTTGAATGATTATGATAAACTATAGCTAAAACTTTTAAATGGTGCAAGGACGATGTATGGACTTTCCTCATTAATCGTGGAAATTGCATCATGATTTGCGTACACAAACACACACACACACACACACACACACACACAACACGCCCACACAAACATACACAAAATCGCTTCGCAATATATAACCTTCTTGGTGAAGGTACGCAACTAGCCGACAAAATCCGACTTACTTTCCCTTGTGCACGATTAAAGCCCCGAATAGTCCATCTTCCCGCTGGGTGCTGAGATGGGAGTGGTAAAAATGAGTCCCGGCAGGCTCTGCGCGAAAGCGGTAGAAGAAACTCTCGCGGGGCATGATGGGACATTGGGTGACGTAGGCCACGCCATCCATATATGGCGTGCCGCGCATGTGCAGACCGTGCCAGTGGATGCTTGTGACCTCATTTAGCAGTTTGTTCGTTACTTTAACGACGACCTGAGTAGATATCAACATGATAACACTAGTAAGTACAGTCAGATTTATTACGCTAGCTGTTATGTGCACCTTGTCAAAACATATGTGGCACTAACAAACAATATTTTTTTTTCTTAATTTTCCTTAACAATATTCAATATCACTGTGAATTATAGTCTTAAACTATAATCTCCAGTTATCAATTGCCGATTGATGTCAAGAATTTAATGCTTGAAAAATAGAAGATTTAGCAAAATTCCAGCTGTACAGTATCTCTAACCTGTGCCCCCTCCACGACTTCAATGGTAGGTCCCGGAAACATGTCGTTGACCGTGATGACGTTCCTCTGAACTCCGTCAGTGGTAATGACCTCCTCCCAGGGTACGAGAGTTCCGTTCACGTTCTCCTTCCCCGGGTGGGCGGGGTTTCCCAGCGAACTAAAGAGCTCAAGGCGTCCGTCGTCACGAAGTTTCACCTGTACACATTGATGTGAGATTGGGGATATCGTGCGTTTGCAATAATGATAACTTGTACAGGGTACGAAGTGTGGCATCTCTTTTATTTAAGATTAAGGTGGCGACAGGACATTTGATGGACTGGCAATGACTATACGGTACAATTAACAAACAGGACAGACAACACATATCGGCCTCTATAACACTCCAACAGCATATAACGGGGGGTGCTCTAAGTTCGGACGGATTATTTTACTGATCTTACTATGCAAAAGTACACCGTGTTTGTTTCCACTGACTTTGCTAATCAAAAAGGCAAATAGCCAAAGCCAATGCATACAGGTGTTATTTGCATGCATAGTATATATAGAATACAACACGGGGTATTCCGTATCGCCCGAGGTATCGGCCCGACCGCGGGTCGGATCGCCCGACGGCCGCAGGCCGGAGGGCGATCCGACTCGCGGGAGGGCAGGGACCGAGTAGTGTTGTAGTGTTGTATTCTATTTATGTCATACCCACCCAAGAAAACACGCCTTTCAATGCAAGATGAGCCAAAAGTTGGTGCCACTGAACCCTAAACTGCAACAACATCAATTCCAACGTCCGGTTTCTGTATTCGAATTTTCGAAAGGGGCACACGCGGTTAGGGCGAAACGCGTTCGAATCGTTTTATGGAAGCCATGGAAGCGTTCGATAACGGGTTCCTGACCGGGCCGTACCGTAAAGTACGGCCCGGTCCGGAACCCGTTATCGAACGTTATCGCGGCCCGGGTATGATATAAAGTTATTTATTGTCGTATCGTTTCGTCGAAAAGCAGAATTTCGTCGAAAAACAGTAAAAATTTCGGTGTTTTTGTTGTAGAAAACCGACCAGAGAAAAAAAAAATTAACACTACAGCATCTGCATTTCCCATTATTCCTATGAGACCACGTTGATTGCGCAAGCCGGATTTTCAGCCGAAACACTGACTGACTTCGATACAACCTCCCTCACGTGAGACGAGAAGTACACAAAATCGCATTTTAAACACCAAAAAGAAGGCTGAAATATAATGCTTATTCAAAGTCATCACTAATTTCTGAAAACAACAAAATTACAAAACGAAGTAAGGACACACTGTCTAGCGTCGGCCATTCACGAAAGTACACTCACGAAAACGACTCACAGCGTTTGCCACTTGTAACGGGAAGGTCGAAGGGCTCATGAAAAGTATTTTTTTTTTAATTTTTTGTTTATTTTATGAAGATTTACCACATCTGTGGAAGGATTGACATAACAGGTGACTATCACCTTTTCAAAGATGCCAACCCCGAGACAAGACTGTAAGGTTTGAACCACTCACACCGGGAAGGTCCCCTACTCTTTTCGATAAGTGCGGTGGGTTCTTTAACGTGCGTGGGGTGTGGCTATCCCAAACACGGGACCTCCATTTAACGTCCTATCCGAGGGACGTCCCTAACCAAAGCTAGGTACTCATTTTCACCTGAGTGAAGTGAGGAAATTCGTGTAAAGTACCTTTCCCAAGGGTACAATGTCGGGGCGCATGTTCGGACTTGTTCGGGTACGAGTCCGAACATGCGCCCCTACGTTGTACCCTTGGGTGCATTTCTTATTCAAGTATGTTCTCCGCACAAATATTTAAAAAAAACTCCGATATTAGGGCACCCCCCGTTATCACAGTTCAATCATTCAACAAAAGCTACCCACGGAGTTTGTGTCCCTTGTGCCGTTGACGTCCCGTGAATGAGTCATGGTCTTGGTTCGCCTGATGACGAAGTTAAAGTTACAGACACTCTCGGTGCAGGGCTGGGATAGGACGAGATGAGGCGCTACAAGCGCCGCCATGATGATGATGGTGGTGGTCAAAGGCCCCGCCATCTTTCCTTTTACCTGGTGACAACATAGCAGGGTGTTCTAAAGTACAAGTGGTAATCTAAAGGGTCATTTTAAAATGTTGGGCATTCTAAAGCGTAAAACAGACAAAACAAAATTCTCAGGCAAGAAAACATTAACGCTGCAGCCTAATAGCCTTATTTTGAGCCCACCTCCTTTAGACTTAACAAATAATAACCACGACACTACTAATGATTAAAAAACAAATTAACGGAAACAAAGACATTGCAAACTGGGTCTAATACGTATAGATATTTTACCAAAACAGTTCAAAACAGACCGAACAACCAATATCATGTAGCTAGAAATTAATATGACTTAAATATTACACAAACTAGAGCTTCACGATCTCATACCTTCGCCAAATGACTTTCGTATGACTAAGAAAGTATACATTAATCCCCCTGATTATGCAAATAGGATCCTCAATTGCATGAATTATATCTGTTGATCATATTCTTCACTAAAATACAGTCTGGTTTTAACAAAGAATGCCATTATAGCATTATAGCATTTCCTCATAAATTATGCAAATGTGATCCTTATTCAAATAAGTTATGTTTAATCATGTTTATATTCACTTAACTTTCAAATACCCCAAGTATGAAATTCCAGGCAGTTAACACTATCGAATTATAACATTTCTTATTAATTATGCAAATTAAGTCTTCATTTGCATAATCGATATCTGCCTGTGTTTCTCTCGTTATTAATTACATATGTCACAAGTTTGACATTCATGGAATGCAGGTGATTAATAGAATTTCCTCATAAATTATTCAAATTACATCCATATTTGCATAATTGTAATAACATTATGTCAAGCATCACTTAAGCTACCTACAAACTACCAAAAATCACGACGATCCATCAATCAGTTCTTGAGTTATCCTCCTTTCAACATTTTTCAACAAACGCCCCTGCAGTTCCAGAGCAAGCAGCTAGGGGGCTCAAACTCATGTCACTTCATCTCCAAGAGCTATATACCATGTAAATTTTGTGACCCTAGCTTGCCTGGATCATGAGATATCAAAACAAGAAGTTCTGCTACAGTACCATGACAAGCCGCCAGGGGGCGCAAAATCAGTTTCAGGTTTTATCAAGACCTACCCACCTACCAAATTTCACGACAATCCATTCAGGCGTTCTTGAGTTATCGTGTTCACACACACACATACACACACACACACACACACACACAAGAACGCCCCTGAAAACATAACCTTGTCGGCCAAGGTAATGATAAAAAGACTGGCAATGAAAACATACATTGCCATGGCGACGGTGGTTGCTGTTAGGGTTATTGTTTGCATGGCACTGCCATTATGTCATGATTTTGAGGAAGACTTGGTGCCTGTTAAGTCTGTACAGATACAGTGCACTCCTCCCCTGAGTGTATAGTGAACGAGCCCCGGGGTCACAGAAAGTAAGGCCATCTGGGGCAGAGCGGTCTTCCCAAGGGTTACCAGGAATGTGGGCATAGATGTGGGTCAGAGAAATGCCTGTGGACATGCCATGCTTGTGGACAAAATTAAAAGTAAAGTAAAGTAAAAAGACACAACCATAAGATAAATGACGATACACAAAAGGTGATACAGGACAAAGTGAATTTATTATAACTATAATACTAATTTTGATCCATTCAGGCTAACTGTAACTAAATTACACTTTGACTTGGAATTAGTTGGGGACACGTACGAAGTCATAACCTAATTCTGTGTCCAGCCAATCAGCCAATAACATGCAACAAAGTACACAGGTTATAAAAGTAGTGATTTTAATAAATCAAGACATCAGTACCATCATATATACAAAATAAGAGCCTTTAGGGCCCTTATGATAGCTGTCAACATTATTTAGAGTTAGATGTTCAAGCGTTAGGTGTAACAAGTCGTTCGGTGTAATGTAGCGAGCTGCCGCCGCGCCGAGTGCCTACGCTGAAGGGTGGTTATACCGGCTATACAAATACTGGTGTGTTACGCTGAAGGGTGGTTATACCGGCTATAAATACAGATACAGAAGCTGGTGTGTTACGCTGAAGGGCGGTTATACCGGCTATATATATATACAGATACAGAAGCTGGTGTGTTACCCTGAAGGGTGGTTATACCGGCTATGCAGATACAGAAGCTGGTGTGTTACGCTGAAGGGTGGTTATACCGGCTATACAGATACAGAAGCTGGTGTGTAACGCCGAAGGGCGGTTATACCGGCTATACAGATACAGAAGCTGGTGTGTTACGCCGAAGGGCGGTTATACCGGCTATATACAGATACAGAAGCTGGTGTGTTACGCTGAAGGGTGGTTATACCGGCTATACAGATACAGAAGCTGGTGTGTTACGCTGAAGGGTGGTTATACCGGCTATACAGATACAGAAGCTGGTGTGTTACGCTGAAGGGCGGTTATACTGGCTATACAGATACAGAAGCTGGTGTGTTACGATGAAGGGTGGTTATACCGGCTATACAGATACTGAGGCTGGTGTGTAACGCTGAAGGGCGGTTATACCGGCTATACAGATACTGAAGCTGGTGCGTTACGCCGAAGGGCGGTTATACCGGCTATACAGATACAGAAGCTGGTGCGTTACGCTGAAGGGTGATTATACCGGCTATACAAAAACAGAAGCTGGTGCGTTACGCTGAAGGGTGATTATACCGGCTATGACTTGACTTGACTTTATTGGGATCCACATTTAGCTTACAACAAATGTAGCTATTCTTCCTGTGGTCCTTCAAGACACACATGACACATGACATATTTACAAAACATAAATACATGGCAATTACAACATATTAAAACAGATTAAAATAAAGCTATATACATGTACATCATCACAACTTCATATCATTCCAGGTACTGGACATTCTATACAAAAATCTTCTTTTCTGTGCATTTGTTCGAGGTTTATCAAGGCGGATGGTCTGTGAGTCTGATGTTCTAGTATGGTAACCATGTGACTGCATAGTGATGTTCTTATACAATGATATGGGTTGTTTTTCTTTCATTATCCTACGGAAAGTTCTGAGTCCTTTCTGGTGAACTCTGTCCTTCACTGGTAGCCATCCCAGCTTCTCTAGCAACCTGTCCTTACTTGTGTATCTGTCGCATCCCAGGGCAAGCCTGGCTGCTCTGTTCTGTATCACTTGCAGCCGCTTTATGTTCTTTGCAGATGTGCTGGCCCACACTGAGCTGCAGTAGTCAAGATGTGTCAGTACCAGGGCTTGAATGAGTTCTATCCTGTGCTTCGGCAGAAGTGATTTTCTCACCCTGCTTACTTGGGCCATGCTCCTATTGCACTTCTTCACTACAAGGTCTATGTGATCGTCAAAAGTGAGGTTCTGGTCAACCTGCACTCCCAGAAGCTTGACAGTGGGTACCTGCTGTAAAACTCTGCCCCCTGAGCTCCAGTTGTAGGGGAGGTGCAAGTCTTGTCTTTTTTGCTGTCCCCACAAGCATGGCTTTTGTTTTGTCGTTGTTTAGTTTGAGCATGTTGTGATCTGACCACTTCGCTACACATTCTTATGATTCTAGATCTACAAGAGCCTTTGTTCTTATGTCCTGAACAGTGTGTCCTGCTGCGTGTACTGTACTGTCGTCAGCATACTGATCCAGTTCACCATTCTCCACTGTGCTGGACATGTCGTTGACGTAAATGCTGTACAACTGAGGTCCCAAACAACTTCCTTGTGGAACTCCACACTGTAGCACACGTTCTTTGCTATAGGCTCCGTTTGCATACACCTGCCAATTGCGTTTGGACAGGTATGACTTGGTCCATGACAGGGCTTCCTCAGAGAACCCGTATCTTGTGAGCTTCCTTAGAAGCAGGGTGTGGTCAACCAAGTCAAAAGCTGCGCTGTAGTCCAGCAGCACCACTGAAGTCATCAGCCCTTTGTCCATACTATCCAACCACTCATCTGTCATCTTCAACAGAACCGTTTCTGTAGAGTGTAGTTTTCTGTACGCATGCTGTGCCTCTGATTGATGACCTGATTGGGAGAAGTATGACACGATCTGTTCACTAGCTATTATTTCACACACCTTGCCACAAGATGGAAGGAGACTTACAGGCCGCGAGTTCTGTCCAGACAGTGGCTTACTGCTGTCTTTCAATAGCGGAATCACTTTGGCATGTTTCCACTTTGCTGGGAAAGTCCCTGTTGCAAAAGACAGGTTTACTATGTAAGCCAAGGGTTGTGCTATGATATCTGAACAAATCCTCAGCAGTTTGTTGTCTATTCCATCATAGCCCGGGGCTTTGCCATCTGGTAGTCGTGACAGGATTTTGTGCACTTCCTGCGCTGTGACTGCTTCCAACGTGAAAAATTTCTTCCCCGTGTGAGTCTGCAGAAGCTATACAGAAGCTATACAGATACAGAAGCTGGTGCGTTACGCTGAAGGGTGGTTATACCAGCTATACAGATACAGAAGCTGGTGTGTTACGCTGAAGGGTGGTTATACCGGCTATACAGATACAGAAGCTGGTGTTTAACGCCGAAGGGCGATTATACCGGCTATACAGATACAGAAGCTGGTGCGTTACGCTGAAGGGTGATTATACCGGCTATACAGATACAGAAGCTGGTGCGTTACGCTGAAGGGTGATTATACCGGCTATACAGATACAGACACAAATTGTGAGTCAACAAGATAAAGACACGTGTGCACCGATGTTGTTTTAAGGTAATAGTGAAGGTAAGGTAAAGTAATATGCTGAAAGCTTTTCACCTGGTATACGTATTCAGGAATCAACTGTTTCAAAGTTGTCATTTTTTTATCATTTACATCATACATTTGTTATCATCATGGTCATATACAACTATCGTTACTCACATTAAACCATTATTTGATTGTACGCATTTCCTGACGAGAACTTTTGATATAAAATCTTTGTAAACAACACATATTCTATTTCAAATATAAGTTCAATCCGACTAACAAGTATTCACGTATTGGAGAATACTTTTAAAAATAGCTTTAGACCTTGGAACTTAGACACGTGTCTCCTTAAGCTTTGAAACGTCGAATTTGAGATGTCTGTTTACGGGTTCTTGTATGGTACTTTGGGAAGTGCGTCGGCCATTTGTGTTAGACATGTCCCTGCAATGGTAGCTGATGTGGACCGGATGACCAAACGTTACAATGGAAAGCACCAGAACAAAGATGTAAACCTAGAAAACAAAACAAAAAAAAATTAAAACTAGAAAGGCAGAGATTTGCTCCGGAGCAAATGTAGCAAAAAGCTTCACCACATTTCCCGTACCAAAAATGGACCTGCCCCCCTCCCGCAGAAAGTCCTGTCCACACGATTGTTCCGTTGCTAGCCTTTTGTTCGCGTTGCTATGGCTGAGAGCGCCGCCCACTCACCGCGGGGTGCCTACCTCGTGCCTGTACTCAGGCACTATACACAAGTAAACACTGCAAATATCTCTCAAAATAACGCATGATCGGAATATCATGTCGAGAAACAACAGTAAGAATTGAAAAGTAGACAGGTTGACTTTGTAAATAAGAAGAAGTAAAAACGTGACAGCAAATTACAGCGTTCAAAAGTCCTTCTTACGCTAGTGTTTAGTTCAGGCAACTTTTAGCAATTGAACTTTGAACCTTGTGACCTTTCAAGTAATGATTTTTTTTCCAATTTACGCGCTGAACATTAGTTAAAGTGTTGTTAGGGCTAGCCCTTTATAATAGCCTCCGGCTAGTTGGGCAGTCCTGGCTGCTCACATGTGTTATCAGCCTAATAAATGAAAATCAAATCAAAGTCCTAATCTATCATCTTGCCAATAATTTTTTAATTCTATGGTATTAAACTCGATGTCTGCGAAATCTAAGATCATTTTCGTAAATTTCGGGGTAGATTTCGGCCGAGATTATCGTATATTTCCCGTGAGCCTCCATTGAACAACAAGAACGCGTCATCAAGATGGCGGCGGGACTGTGCCCTTTCGATTTTTGGTGTTTTTCTTAAAAAAAATCCATATCAGATCAAAAGTTATGGGCCAAAATATCAAACGTACCCTTTACAGAGGTTTCACGTTGAAGTAAGATTTTCTTTTCAGCTATAATCAGCTATGGAGGCGTCCCTCAAAGAAACTGATTATCGGGCTTCATTGTTCTCGCAGTGCAGTTACATGCAAATCCTGGTTTTAACCCTATCTAGACCTACGGGGGGGGGGGATAAAAGTGCCCGCGACAACTTCGATGTCACCTAGCGTCTGACCGGCTAGAGCTAGAACGGCCAAACATGGTGACTTTTCCTAGAATATTGTTGGCAACAATTCTGTATCATTGGTATAAGATAATAATTTTTGTGTTGCCATGGCAAGGGGTTTCTGACAGACATTTTTTCCTAAATTTAGTAATTTTCATTTCAACAATAGAATTTTTATGGGTTTCATGTGAAGTTCCACATGGTTTCTAATATTAAGAACATCCCATATAATTTTATGTAAATTTCATCAATAAAAATGCATAATTTATGCTAATTTGATGACGTCATTGGCCAAAATCCAAGATGGCGGACCATATCATTAGAACAGGTATATACAGGTTATTTTCCTTAAAATTTCATCAATACTTCCATTTCTTTTTACAAGAAAGGTTAATTTGAACATCTTTAGTGTGTTTACAATGTGTTTTAGGCTTTATCCTGAAAAAACTATTTTTGAAAATCCAAGATTTGTGATCCAAGATGGTGGATAGCTTAAATATGCATGACGTCATTTATGACGTCACCGGTGTTGCTATGGGCAACATAAGACAGTTCACCGTAATATTCTGTCATAAACACTTTTGGTAGCCTGACCTGCCATGGCCTCGCATCAACGTGCGTGATGGCATGGCGTATCAATGGTTTCTAAAATGGTTCAATGTTCCAAATGCATTTGTGCCATGAATCTCGGATGCGTTCCAACGTTCGTTTAAAATTTCAAAAATGTCAATAGCTTATTCGTTTGCTAGGTAACGTTCAATAACGTTTTATAGATTATAATATTAGTTTAAAGCAATTGTTGATCACTTTGTATGAGGTTTTATGAAGGACAAATATAGCCGAATCAACCAAGGACAGATCAAGAACTAGAGGTCGGAGATCTCATGTCTTCGTCAGAGGTACATCGTTCTAGAGAAATGAACATGTGTATTCCTAACTCTTTTTAATAATCAATTTGGTCTAAAGTACAAACGAATCTCTGTACTCTTTTTCATGCTTCAGAACACCCTGAAAGGGTTCGCCACAGATTTTACAGACGCGCCGTCACCCGTGTTAGCCCCCCCCCCCCCACCTACGTTATTTGATTTTGGACTGTTTCTGAAAAAAAAACCTTGCAAGAAATTCTTCTTACTGTATCACGATGAAAGTGTCACGACAGTACTAGTGTCGCAAAATATAATAAGAGCAGATGTGATAAAGGAAGGAATCAGAACAGGGCGACTACTTTTGTTAATTTATCTTTATGACGAATAGAAGACTTGTTTCTTGTTACATTGCGTTCTTTTGTTCAATTTCTGTCCTAACATTTGCATTTCTACAGTTAGTATATTCCAAATCTATGCATCTCGTTTTTCGTTATCGCGCTTTCATATTAAATTTAAGGTCTCCAGTGGACGTCATCCATAGTAATTACTTGGTGTGACCGTAAAAAATAACCTGACACATGTCAAAGATATCCTCCCCCTGCTGAAGTTATAATGAACAATCCCTCAATGTAACGTCATTTGATCCCATCCCATTATGGGGTTCCCCGGCTGCTTATATCCAGCTGTCGGCAGTCTCCAAGCAGAGGTTGGTGGGGATGTACGTTATTTTTAAACACAAAAGGTGCGCTACAGTGACAACGGAACCCCCACGAAGCCCATTAACAAACTTAACCTTGGTCTCAACAATTGTAATCTGCCTACTAAAAATCATAAACATCAATTTAAATATACTCGAGTTATTTTGCTCACAAGCCACAAAAACAAAAGGTGCACTAACGTAACGCACGGACCTCCCATGAAGCCGAAACTTGCACTTGACTTTGGCCTTAACAACGGTAATCTGCCTGCCAAAAATCATGGACGTCGAATTATGCCTGCCCGAGTTATATTACAAAATCCGCAGTCGCCCACAATGCGGCGAGACAATTTCATAGTCCTTCTGACGAAGACAATAAGCCTACAATATAGTCAGAAGCCCGTGCGAGAGTGGTGGCAAAGTAACAAATGTTGTTGATGTAGTTGTTTTTGTTGTTAGTCAAAATCATCAGAGTTGAAGCATGGTATCGTGCCTTTTTTTTATCATATTCTTTGTTATACTTGCGCAATGCGGCTTCACTAGCTACGAAAGGTTTGTTGGGATTTTTAACGTGCGTGGGGTGCGTGCTCTCCCCAAACACGTGACCTCCATTCTTAATGTCTTATCGGAGGGACGCCCCTACAGTTGCGCCCCTAACTGTAGCTTATTTCCAACTGGGTGAAGTGAGGAAAGTGCCTTTCCCAAGGGTAGAAGATCAGTGACGATGTAGTTTTCGAACCCAGGACGTCTTGGTTCTTAACCGAACGCGCTACCGCTTTTCCACTTGATCCCACTACAAGATAGTAAATATGATCCAAAAACATTTGTAGAGGTCATAAATAATACGGATACTCGGGATAGCCGTTCACAAATGTCAGATGTTTTGTTACGGAAAATGCTGGCTTAGGTCCTAAATGACGGGGCTAGGTCTAGGACAAATTTGTCCGCGATGTACTTACATAAAACGGGGTTCCAGCAGTCTTGATCCAGCCGATGAGTGGATACTGCACTAGACCCACCAGTCCGGCTACTAAGTACGACAGACCGATCAACCGGCCTAAGTGCTCCGCGGGAAATCTGGTGATATCATGAATATAACATATGCATCTTCATTAGTTGATGGTATTTGTATGGTTAAGATCAACTTTGTGAACGTTGATTCATTTGTTACGCTCAATTGGTGGTTTACTAGTATTCGGTTGTCATCGCACCTGACCAGGGATTATCTCACCATATACACCGAGGATAATGCGGGGCATTAACGTTATTATCATATAGCCTATCCAAATACCCAGTTATTTGACTCAGATTCCTTAATAAAATTCCCCAATTGCCGAAAAAACTCTCATATTCTATGTTATGCAAAACAAAATAGCATGAACAGAAAACAGATCATCAAGGCAATCATCTGCGGTGAGCACATTGGAACCAACCATGGTTAGCCGAACACCTTCTGGCCTCCAGGGGACACCATGCCCAAGAAGAAAGCAGATTCCAAGGACATTTAAAAATGCCACAAAGTTTAACTTTCACTGTATGATTGCACGTAGTGGACCCCTGATTCTGCACACTTTAATTCGAGACAGAATTGAAAAATGGTTAGCAGGTATTTGGCACTTTTGGGCAAGTGGTCGGAATGGTTGGAAGTAGGATGGCCAGCATTCGGGACTGGTTCGGGAAATGGTTTTGAAATTGCAGGGAGATGGTCGGCACTGGAGATAGGCGCGGCTAAAATCTTGTCCCGAACACCAGCTGTTCATGAACGAATTAGGGAGAGGGTCATGATTATGATAGTGTTACAACTATGGGCTTAAGAGAGCGTACTACATAGGCACCATGTAACGCACTCACGAATTAGCGATGAAGGCGGTGTTCCCTCCATAGATGAAGGCTCTGCTGACGATGTGCAAAACGAAGGTCAAGAACATGTCCTGAGCTGACGTCATGAGCAGGCCCGTACTGGACTCCACAGACGCCGTGTCCCACACGGACAGCGTGGCGAAGAAGAACACCAGCGAGCTGGTCAGACTGGTGATGATGAACACTGGGACGGCCGCACGCCGCCGGGAGGACACGGTATGATCTTAAAAAAGAAGAAAACAACTGAAACTCGTGTTTTCCTGTCTAGTTTTTCTCTAATTTAGTTTTTATCCCAATTAAAAACGGGAATTCTCACATCAAATATAACTATGCTATAACAAGATAAACTATTAGATATCTATTACATGACCAGTTGCTCCTTTTTTCTGGATGTATCTGTGGGCGTAGGCTTACGTGTCTGTGCAGTGATGCTGTTTAGAATCAATGCTTGTACCATTCTCCGTGAAGTTTTATTTTGCAGATTCAGAACTGTATAGTGCATGTAAACAGTAAGTGATCACTTAACAACTGGTAACAATGTATCGTAAAAATGGATAGAGCAGAGCCAAAGGAACCTAAAGCACGCCCTGGTGAAACGAAGGTCGCAGTAGTCCAGAGCTACCCCTGCGAACAACGAGACAACTTGACTGGCTACCACGGAAGTCGCGAACACTTGCGCCAAGGCCTCGTCTTGTTCAATGCATTCTTGGTAACAAGGTGCATCATGGGTAGAGGTGTTTGACGAATCTTGGCAGTTGATCTTTCAAAAATCAGGAGAATTTAGGTTATACAGGGTTACATTATAATACGTAACGATTGAGTGAAGGGTGATGGGCTCTGATTTGAATAGCCCCTTTCTCCCCTCTCAGATCTTGTTTGGTGTCCAATATTGTTACAGTTTCCCATACATTTATCTTCTTCAACTTTAAGTGTGTGTCATCAAAATTATGCATTTACCCAGATTTGTGAAATGTTTGTTTACAATAGGACAGACACCTTTGACGCTAGACGGAGCAAATATGGCTATTCTTTTACATGCATATCCTGTCTGTACAACTTCATTCAATCTGTTCTCATATCCGATGTAATCTTCTACAACAAATTCTTCCACAATATCTGTGTCCGTCTGTACTCATAGAAATATGTTTAACTATTGTTATCATGTGTAATTATATCGTTGTATTTTCTTTTATATGGGTGAGTGATGCCTGAAATAAAGAATAAAAATAACGATACCACTATAAGGGTGGGTGGGTTTATAAGTGTTCTGAATTTACAACCATCCACTCGATCACAAACTAGGTGTGATCTATATATACATGACTCTCTTCCAAACAGCTAACACCATAATCTCAAACCCACCGAACATAGAGACAGAGAAGAAACACCTAGCTCAACCATTGAAAACCTGCGGCTTCCGCCAATGAAGAATGAAGCCACACTTCCTAAAACACCTAATTATACATATAACACCAAGCCAACAGGAAAGACGCCCAAGGGTTTGATCATCTTCCTGTAAATCGAGGACCTGTCCGAAGCCCTCAGAAGGATTTCATCTCTCCCACGGAATTACAACTTGCATTAAACTAATATCTTCATTTAATATTCTAAACTTCATATTCATTTTCAGTCACCTGGGCATTCTATTTGATTGGGCTCTGTAAGTCCTTCTATTGGACACCGAACAAAACTATCTACAATGTATCCATCCATCCATCCATCCATCCACCCAACCACCCACCCACCCACCTATCCATCCACCCACCAACCCACCCGTCCGTCCGTCCATCCATCCATCCATCCATCCATCCATCCACCCATTAATCCACCCACCCTATCTATCACTTACACGCTCAACCGTATTGTTTATTAGTTTACCCACCTGAGTGCTGTGCTGCGAGTTGTTTGCTGTTGTATTAACGCAGAGGTCACTGAGGTACCCCTCCTTTTTTAGGACATACACTAGTGATGTCCATCCATAGATGATGCCGGAAAACAGCAGCATCTCCAGCACAGAGATGGCCAGAAGCAGGAAACGTTTCTCAAACGCCATTTAGGCTGTTGGAGGGAAAATTGAACAACAGTTCCCTCCACCAGTTATGAACGGTAGCTTTTGAAAAGTAAAGGTACACATAACTGACGCAGTCGCGCATATTATTAAATGATCGAGTAGGTATAAGCAGTTGTGCGTCTGAGGTTTTTCCTGACCACCAGGTCACTAAATCTAGGTTAAGCGACGGCCACAACCCGCCGTACGTGCTTCTGAGTGCTGTCTACGTGCAAAAACATGGGCAAACGCAGGGCATCCGTGCGTGGTGAGTACCGCCTCCGTACGGAATCCTACGGATTTGGGAGCACGCAGACACGCCGTAGAACTTTCAGCGACGGTCACAACCCGCCGTACGTGCTTCTGCGTGCTGTCTACCTGCAAAAACGTGGGCAATCGTAGGGCATCCGTGCGTGGTGAGTACCACCTCCGTACGGAATCCTACGGATTTGGGAGCACGCAGACACGCCGTAGAACTTTAAGTGCATGTAATACTTTTTCTACGTGCGGTCTGCGGATTTACCACCCGTGCGTGCGAGTACGTGCGACGCGCGTGCCCCGTACAGCCTATGAGCGTGCAACGTACGGACTCCGTGAGTCTAACTTCACTATTCTCACGTGCAATTGCTGTACGGACAGCGCACGAAGCACGTGCGTGCCACGCACGGTGCTTGCATCATCCGTGCTTACTCCTCACTTCACAGTTGACCTGCTCAATGACCACGCAGAACACACGTGCACCATGCCAGGTGCTCCGCACGTGCAACGCACGTGCAACGCACCTGATTTCTACAGTATATAAAGACGACTTGACGGGCGACTGCCAACTCGTCTCCAAGATGCCCAGGAAGGCTCAGAAGAAGACTACCAGACAAGACCCAAAGAAACGGGCCGCGGAAGACACCAGGGCGGCTAGTGATGATGAAGTTAACAGGAGGTGCACGCACTTACAACGTGCGAGTGAGTAAGGAAACCGTGCGTACGCCGCACGTGTAGGTACGGCCTGTACGCGGCAACGTGGCAATCGCACAGAGATCGTACGTTGTAAGCACGTACAACTCACTTACCACTTGCGCAACGTACGATGCACAACCGCTGACGGCCAGGCATGTCGTGCAGACCACGTACGTACACCTTGCGCAACCGTGCGAGTGACGTACTCCCTCGGCCGGCCACCCTACGTTTGCAGAAAAAACGTAGCAGACGTAGCCACGAAAAAAACGTACGGACAAAAAGCACGCGGATTCACCACCCGTGCGTGCGAGTACGAGCGACGCGCGTACGCGTGCCCCGTACGTGCCCTGCGGAAGAAGCACGTGTGAGTACGGCCTCCTTACGGTAAAGTTGCAATCGCACAGAGATCGTACGTTGTAAGCACGTACAACTCACCTACATGTACCACTTGCGCAACGTACGATGCACGCAACCGCTCACGACAAGACTTGGCGTGCAGACCACACTCTCACACTTTGTGCAACCGTGCGAGTGACGTGCGTAGACGCCACTCCTTCCTCACGTTTTCAGAAAAAAAACGTAGCAGACGTAGCCTCCCAAAAAACGTACGGACGAAAAGCACGTACGGCGGGTTGTGACCGAGGCTTTAGCGATTGCCCAAAATGGGAGTGGTGGCCGGCCAGAGGCACACCTACCAAGCCCAACTTCTATTGGCAGTATTTTAATAACGTTAAAACCGCTCATTAGAATTAACCATCACATATTTATCTCTTATCATGAGTTTAAACATGTTACCAGGTTGCCCTACTTATCTATGCGGACAATAACAAAACATTAGAATATGCTGAACAACCGTTTTCACGTGTCAATGATGGCACCCAGGTACGTAAAGGTTGACACTATTTCTAGCTGGACCGTTTGTTAGAAGATCCTCAGTTCCGTGGGTTGTTTTGTTGCTGCCATGACCTTGGTCTTCTTGTTACTGATCTCCAGTCTGTACTCCGTGGTCGGTGTTTACTAGGTCCAGCGGCTCAGTCTTGGCGTCTCTCCAGTGATGTTGCGATATCAGGACTATGTCGTCTGCAAGCCAAAGTTGTTTACAGTCCTGTCATTGATGTTGGCAGCGATCCATGGTGGTTCAACCGGTTCAATGTTTGAATATAAAGAGCGTTGGTGTTGAAATTATGATTTTTGAATCAGATAAGAACCTGGTTCAGTGAACTTAAGATAACATGAAAATCTAACCCTCCACCTCATGATGTATTTTTGTATATACATTTGACCTTTGAACATTTTGATCGGATCGGAAAAAAAACAAGCTACGTTCATTAGTTTGGTCGTGCATAATTTTTATGTCTAACAAATATTCATGCATGTTATTGCGATTGAGCTCATTGCTGTACAGGCAATATAGGGCCTTATCAACCATTACAAATAGGAAGGGACTGTTTCCACGTGGCTTGTGACTGCAGCTGACTGGCTGCTCTAGGCTGCTCGACCAAGCTGTGTTTATTATTTTTGTTACCTTCGCCAAGAAGCTTATGTTTTCGGTGGTGTTTGTATGTGTGTGTGTGTATGTGTGTGTTTGTGTGCTATTGGTATTGTTTGTAAGCACAATAACTAAAAAAAAGGCTAAAAATAGATTGCCATGAAACTAGCTGGTACATGTAACTTGGTAGGTGAGTAGGTCTGCAGATGATTCTACCTGCAAATGATTAGATTTGGGACCCCTGGCGGCTTGTTGTAGTACTACAGCGGAGTTTTCGGTTTGAATATCTCATAATCTAGACAGGCTAGGGTCACGAAATTTGTATAATAGGTAGCTCTTGAGCTGGGGAAAAAGTGACGTGTGCTTGAGTCCCCTAGCAACTCGTAACTGCAGGGGCGTTTGTTGAAAAATTATTGAAAGGGGGATAACTCAAGAACCGGTTGATGGATCGTCGTCATTTTTGGTATGTAGATAGTTTATGTTACAGTAATACCTGACAAAATTAGATGGCAATATCCAAATCTGATGGCAATTGCATAATTCATGAGGAATTTCTAAAAATCAGATCTATGCATTCCATGATAGGACTATACTAGTTCGTTGCATGTAATTGAAAAAGAGAGGAACATAGGCAAATATTGAGTATGTGAAGGGAGACCTAATTAATGATTAATGAGAAAATGCTATGATTCCAGATTGGTAACTACCTGAAATTTCATACTTGGGGTATTTAAAAGCTAAGTGAGAGTAAACACCTCATTTGCATAATTTGGAGGAAAGATAGAATGGCATTTTATGTCAAGATAATTTTTTTGGGTGGAGAATATGATGAACTGATGATCAAATGAGGATTGAATTTGTATAATCAGTGGGACTAATCTATATTTCGTCAGCCATCAAGGTTAACATCACTTGATTAATTTTTTTGGTACACTTAGACAGAATATATATTTTTTATACGTTTGATTATAGGAACAACTTGTCTTTCTATAAACAAAATGAAGGAATGCAGATTTTCAGCTCAAATTTGCCAAAAAAAATACGCACATCCCTTTGGACCCTATTCGGACAGATTCGTGCAGTCGGATGAGGATTTTGAGGCTGTGATACACCATATCTATGGATATTAATAAATGGCTTACCTGGCTAGAATCAAGTAGAGAAGTAGAGGAAAACACCCGCTGTTTTGCAAGTTACCCAATGATCAGTTTAAACTCCTAATCGACTTTAACCGAGGGTTCAAGGAGCGTACACGATTACCCCTGTCACGTGTTATGCAATAGAATGGTACATGTAGTATACCTTGTTATTCAAGCTCGGGTCACAACCCACTGAACGTGCAACTGCGTGCTGCCTACAACTACGTGCAAAAACGTGGGCAAAGTTTGGGGATCTGTGAGTGGTGAGAACCGCCAACGCACTGATTCCAACGGATTTGTGAGAACGAAGACTCGCCGTAGCACTACAAAGCATTTGAAAACTTTGCGTGCGGGCTGAGGACTATTTCGAGAACATCACAATACCCTCTATAACCACGTTCTTCTGAACAAATAAAGCACAGATCAGCACACGTGACGTCATAATATTGGACAGGTGCCTGTGCGGCCGCCTCTCGGGACCCGGTGGCTAGGTTACGGCTTGGTCCGATGAGGTTACGGCTTGGTCCGATGAGGTTACGGCTTGGTCCGATGAGGTTACGGCTTGGTCCGATGAGGTTACGGCTTGGTCCGATGAGGTTACGGCTTGGTCCGATGAGGTTACGGCTTGGTCCGATGAGGTTACGGCTTGGTCACGGCGTACTTTTCCCGCCGGGGCCCGGGGTGATTTTAACTTTGAGCTAAGACCAATTCGGCGACGGCACGGGGCAAAAAATAGGCCGGCAGCCATCCGGAACCCCGCCAGTCGCCTTCCAGGTCCCGTACGGTAGTGCCAAAAACAACCGCAAACGCGCTTATGCTTCGGTCCCAATTGAAAGAAGGGGCCCTGCCGGGTAGTTCCCGGGCTGTTTTATGGAACTTTCGGGCGAAACCCCTACGTGGCCCCGCGGGACACCCTGTGGCTGCCGGGCTATTTTTATACCCGGCGGGGACCCGAGAAGAATTTAATTCTGAATTAAATTCTACCCGGGCCCCGCTGAAAAAAACGCCGTGACCTCACCGTGAGAACACCGACAGGTACCCCTCCGGTTGCCGGCAGTCCACTGGGACACATTTGTTACGTCACAGACCAGATGAACAGAATAAAGGTGTGTACTTCGTAAACCCGGGTAAAATGTGTGACGTCACAAATCAAATGATCACAAAAAAGCGTGAATTCTGCATTACGTATAGGTCAGTACAAGACATCGTCAGAGAATCTGCCGGGTACCTGCCGGGTGCCTGCCGGAGACCGACCAAAGAGGGTGACAAAATTTTTAACAAAATGCTACTGAAGGAAACTTTAAAATGAGACCACGACAGTCGATGCCCGCCCGACCCCTGAGCCCGACCGGGACCGGCCGGGGCTACATCCCCGACGGGTACCGGCGCAATTCACCCGCAATTGGGACCGAAGCTTTAGCGTGCCCCTTTTTGAATTGTGACCTAGGCTTAAGATGATCGCACCTTCCCCCTCCCCGAGATTTAGGGCGAACCATTTTTTCACTAAAAAGGGGGTGGATTTTTGTAGATGTATGGGTTCTTTGTCATACCTTCCTTTAGCAAGTATACATTTTCGCAAAAGGTGTGGCAACTGCAAATAATAATTATTTCATCCGGAAAACATCTCCAACTGACAGTACTACATTAACTTTCAACAGGGGGTATAGACTTTTGGAACACTTTACATGTTGAACATGTGTAATTTAGGAACAATCTATCTGTGTGGGAGGGGTAGGTTGGTACGGGAAACGAATATGTGGTGAAGCTATTTGCTGCATTTGCTCCCGAGCAAATATCGACCTTTATAGTTATATAACCTTTCCCCAAGGACTCCCTTACTGCGAATCTCATAATGACCAATGGAGAATTGTAGTCAAACGCTAAATCCAAGGACATTCTACTTGGCAGCGCGGTATGGCAGGGCTGCGGAAGAGCGGTATGCCAGGTATATCCCTTGGCAGCGGTGTGGCAGGGCTGTAGAAGATGTGTAGCGCAGTGTCGTTGTGGGCCTTCGTAGAATTGTGACTCCAACTTTACCCAGACGCCCCCGCGCCAGGCACGGTCCTCCGAACGCCACAGGATCATGAAGACGACTTGGGCGGGGATGAAAATATACCAACTTCCGCCAGAGGGCGTCGTGACACCGTCAGTTCTCTCTCTGAGGAGTGTGGTGCTCATGACAAGACCCCACAGAAAGTCCACCTGGCGAGGTCTATTCTCAGGAGAGCTTTAGAGGAATCCAACGGACAGAACAAAAATAACGTTCCACATGGAAACATCAAGCGACGGTGGCAACAAAAAGGAGTCCAACTGAGCCCTCGTCGCGGTAGGAAAGGGACAAACCAGTACGAAGAAGCAGATCCGAACACCTCCACGTGTTCTGCTGATGGTACAGTCAGCACCAAGGACGGGGACAACAACAGACGTTGGCAGGAGTATTGGGGCCGGTGTCTGGAGCAGGAGGCTCCCACGTACGCGTTCGACCTGGTCGGCTACGTGTGTGAGGGGCGGCTGTCACGTGGATTCTTCCCCAGGGTCGTCAACGTTTTCCCGCGCAATTTACTGCGAACTGCCGAGCAGGCCGTGACGGAATGTCTGGCTAATGTCGAGCTGTAGAGCCTGGGAAACACCGCCTCCTGGCGATTTGTTTGATAAGCACACTCTAATACAATTGTCGATATATGTTATGACATGAGGGTACCAAATGCAGTCAGTTTCTATTGTTTTTTCCTCGGAAATGGAAAGAAATGATTACTGCATTGAACGAACTTACTAGTCATATCCACGACATTTCAAACTGTCGCCGCTAGTGGGCGCTTTTAGACCTTTGTTAGTTAAAATGTACGGCCAGCATTATTGTAGCTACTGCAAAATGGTACTTATTATCACTAGATAAATAAGCTTTATTGCACAGCGATTGTACAAGGTACAGTAAATGATTACTACTGCTATATAGCAATAAACATAATGCTTACTGTGAGAATAACCTACGTTACAAAACTTTCGAGTGTTTGTGATGAAAATGTTCTATCACAATTTTAGGTGGAATTTCATTGTTACCTCCATGAAAAATGGAGGTATTGTTTTTGGCGGCGTCTGTCTGTGTGTCTGTGTGTGTGTCTGTGTGTGTGTCTGTGTGTGTGTCTGTGTGTGTGTCTGTGTGTCTGTGTGTGTTTCCGCAACTTTGTAGTCAGCATAACTTCATAACGCCTTTATGGATTGTGATGATATTTGGTATGCTGATAAGTCTTAGGAAGACAAAGGTCAAGGTCAAATATGGGCCTCCTGGTGGATGACCTTGGTACTGCAGCAGAACTTCCGGTTTTTGTATCTTTGGTCCTGAACATGCTATGGTCTTGAATTTTTGGTGACAGATAGCTTTTCCTGTCAGGAATAAGTGGTGTGCGTTTGGTCCCCCTAGCAGCTTGTTCAGGGACTGCAGGGGACTGTCGGGCGAAATCTTTGAAAGCCAATAAGTCCAGATAGGAACAGCGTATTTTCATCATTTTTGGTGTGTAGGTATCTGACAGAGAGATGTACATAATTAACTGCAAATTATGCAAATGAGGACTTTATTTGCATAATAAAGGAGGGGATTCTATAATTACAGTGTTTTACATTATAGTACTTTCATACATGTAATGTTTGTAACCTATGGCAGATGGAACATCAACAGATACTAATTATGCAAATTATGACCTAATTTGCATAATTAATGCGAAAATTCTATGATTTCTTAATTGTGAATGATGGGAATGTCATACTTGGGACATCTGTAAGTTAATCAAAAGATAACATCACATGCATATATTATGTTAATGCAGAGGTCATTTGCGTAATTAAAGAAGAAATTTACATTTACATATCAAGCCCATATTTCATGGAGGTATGAGATCTCGGAACTCTTGTTTGGAATATGTACAATGCAGCGGTTGTTAGATAGACTTTACTATATTTGTTAGATAGACTTTTATATCGTTAAGTTGATAGACTTTCATATAGTGAATTACTCGTATCAAAATGTTAACCGAAATAAAGTCTTATTCATTCATTCATTCATTGTTCACATAAGGTGAAAAAGTTATATTTCTCTTTCTGTAGTCCTGGTCAAAATGGAGACTTTGATTAACAAATATTTTCTGGAATCTCCCGGTCTCTGACAGCCAACCCTGGGTCTTGTGATTGCTCTACTGATATCAAGACATTTTTTTCTTCATGTTTGAAAGGCAGATTTCTTGCTTAGGCCACATCAAGTAATTTTTTATGGATGACATCGGCGCGCGCTTTAATTTTCGCCTGATTTTGGAAAAAAAACACAAGAAATTTTGATGCCTTCTGACAGTGGTCAATATGCCAAAAATGGGCAAAGATGTCTGTTGCCATGCCGGAAGGTGGATGGCAGATAACTATGAAGAGAGGAGACGAGAAGGCTCTGACTTAATGTTTTGTTTCTTACTTTGATGCAGTGATATGTGATGCTGGCTGTGTATATGTGATGTTCCCACTGAATCAAAACCATTTGTACAATGTTTGAGTCAAAATTGTAGGAACCTTGCTTTTTTCGGCCTGTCTTGTTTTTTTTTCGCCCGCTCGCATTAGATTTAGAGTCTGCAGAGGATGCCATCCATAAAATTTACTTGCTGTGGCCTTATGATATACAGGTAACTTGTTACGTTATACATGACATTACTGATATCACAGTAGTGTCACACAAGAAAAGACAACGCTAATTCTCAACATAACCATGCGCTTCACTATTTGATTTGATTTGATTTATTGAAATTACAACAGTGCAATACACGCAGAACAGAGGCAGCTGCTGCTGGTGTTGTGTCCCGCACATAGAAACGGATACAGGACAGACAATACTCATTTTCACCTGAGTCTGCTCCGTTATAAACGACATGCATAGATGTGAAATACATATTATGAGTTCTTCACGCCTGTATTGACTCTTCAAGGGCCTATAGAAAGCTTTACCCGGCCGCGGGTACACAGAGCAGGGCCGTGGGTCCGTTTGATGTTGAAGCGTGGCCATGCTTGACTCGGTCCGTCTGCAGCGGAACAAACCGTGAAGACTGGGCCGGCCTTCGGGGCTGTCAGCTGCCAGGCCGCGGGGAGAGTGACGGAAACCACCTGAGGACTTGTTAATGTTCTACACGGGGTTTGCACGTGTAACCGTCTCCTGACTTTTTATATCATTGTAAAATAATGAATGAATGAAGACCTTTATTGTACACACATACCCACTGGGTTAAGTACAGGTCACAACAAAACGATGTAATACAGATAACGTTTCATATATACATCGTTAAGTAGCTACAATCAAGTAAATTCGGTTTCTTCTCGTTTCTTAGGAAAAAAGGTAAGAACAGGTATGTTTCAATATAGAGGGTTTGTCTAAGCTCATTAGGAATATAAATTTATCTGTACAGCTTAGATGTATGAAGAAGGGGAACATAGATTGTAACAGATTATAAAGATCTGCTCTCAGACTGTTTGTTGTATAGTTTACATTCTGTTACAAAATGTTTCTCATCTTCGATTATTCCTAAATCACAGTACCGACATAACCGTTGTTCTAGTAATAGGTATACTTCGCTTTTAGTCTGTAAGCCCGTGTCACAAAGCTGAATATGCCTTCACTAACCGAAATCCCACCAGCCATGGTTTGGAGTAGGTCGGGAGCACGGTCGGGTTGAGTTAGACGAGGTTGGCTACTGTTCGCCAATTGAATGTTTCAAAATTTTGACAACGTTTGGATGTAGACTGGAGGTTCGGCCATGGTTGGCCGGTGTTCGGAAGTAGGTCGGGTCGTAGTTGTGATGGTAAAACTTGACTCAAATTTAACTCGCATCGAAAGATAGGCGTGACCTAAATCTGGTCAGACTGCTCCCGAAGGTCAGCCAATCTTAAGCTAAGGTCCCAATTACGCCGGTGCCCGTCGGGGATGTAGCCCCGGCCGGCCCCGGCCGGGTTCAGGAGTCGAGCTGGCATCGGCTGTCGTGGTCACAATTAAAAATTTCCTTCAGTAGCATTTTGTTAGAAATTTTGTCACCCTCTTTGGTCGGTATCCGGCAGGCACCCGGCAGGTACCCAGCAGATTCTCTGACGATGTCTTGTATTGACCTATACGTAATGCAGAATTCACGTATTTGTTGTGATCATTTGATCTGTGAGGTCACACATTTTACCCGGGTTTACGAAGTACACACCTTTATTCTGTTCATCTGGTCTGTGACGTAAGAAATGTGTCCCGGTGGAATGCCGGCAACCGGAGGGGTACCTCTCGGTGTTCTCACGATGAGGTCACGGCGTCTCTTTGTCAGCGGGGCCCGGGTAGAATTTAACTCAGAATTAAATTCTTATCGGGGCCCCGACGGGCCAAAAAATAGCCCGGTAGCCGCAGGGTGCCCCGCGGGGCCACGTCGGGGTCCCGCCCGAAAGTAGTAAATAACAGCCCGGGAACTACCCGCCAGGGCCCCTTTTCCCAATTGGGACCTTAGCTTTAGTCGGTAGGTGTTCGGGAGAAGGATCTAAATTTGTGTATGTGATGCGATTTAAATATTTTAAACGGCCCGCACCCATAACACTAATTAACAGTGTTACGTATAGTGAGTTTTTAGTACAAAAGCTTATATAAAGGTTATCATAGAAAATCTGTATGGCAAATGTTGATATGGCTGATTGGTTGAAAGTGAGTTTTCTAGGGATGGCTATCGGTGGATTTGTAAATTTATCAAGGGGTGATTTTATTTTTTTAAATTCCAACATGTAGGCACAAGACGTGGTGACGGCACGGTCAAGATTTTCCAACTTATATTAATGCCACCACCAACTAACACAGGGGAAAATACAATACTCATTTTCACCTGAGTGAAGTCAGGAAAGTCGTGTTAAGTGCCTTTCCCAAGGTCACAAGATCGGTGGCATGTCAGGACTCGAACCCGGGACCTCTTGTTTCCGAGTCGAGCACTCTGCCGCTACGCCACACGACCCCATATACGGGATGATTTGGGTTCAGCATGATTGTCCCGTCCTAAAGCGCTCAGGTCTAACTCGCATGCCTGTATAGCATTCGGATAGTCGTGTTGTGGTGTTCTAAAAGGAACCCTGATTGTCGGTGTTTGGTGTCTTTGTGAAGGATCGCCCGACCTTCTCCGACAGTTGAACGACCGTTGTTGACCGAACGTGCCGTGCTGATGACAGTCACGCCAACACGACTGTCTGCCGACACTGCTGCAACTACTCAACTCTGAAACACCTGTCCCGCGGGAACTGTCACCCGGAACAAAACAACTAGTAACAAAGGAGGGAAGAAAAATATGAGACGGGAACAAGGAGAGGAATTATATCAGAGAGATGAAACAGCAACAATTATTTAGCACACACACAAGCACACAGCACACGCACGCACACACACACACACGCGCGCACGCACACGAACGCACGCGCATACGCACGCATACCCAGACACGCATACTCACACGGGCGGACGCACACACACGCATGCACTCACACACGCACAGACATGCACACGCACACGGACGCACATACACACACGGGCGCACGCGAACGCAAACACACACACGCACACACAGGCATGCACACGCACG